CAATTCTAAAGTTCTTTCTACCTCATACCCATCAAACTGGCAAAGTTGACAAAAAAAGGAAAGTAACAAAGAAAATTGAAATATCAAAGCAATATTGGAGCTGTGAACAGATCTAGACATTCTGAAAAGCAATTCAGAAATAAGTTTAAAAATTTACTAAACTGTGCAAATCTTTAGGCCCAATAATACCACTGCTAGGCCCATACCACAGAGATCAAAGAAAGAGGAAAAGGGCCTGTGTAAACAAAAATATTTACAGTAGCTCTTTTTGTAGTGGCAAAGGGCTGCCCTAATGGGGAATGACTGAACAAATTATGGCCTATACATTTAATGAATTTATAGCATTCCATAAGAAATGAAGGGAATATGGTAACATGTTTTGCATGACTGTGCATATATAACCTATATCAAATTGCCTGCCTTCTCAAGGAGGGGAGTGTGAAGGGAAGGAGGGAAAGAATTTGAAACTCAAGATTTTAACACAAATGTTAAAAAAAATTTACATGTAATTGGAAAAAAAAATATTTAAGAACAACAATAAAAAAGAAATAGTGAAGGGGACGATTTCAGAGAAACCTGTGAAGATGTCTGTGAACTGATGAGGGTTGTGAACAGAACCAGAACAATTTATATAACAACATAACAAAGACAAACAACTATGAAAGACTTCGGAACTCTGTCCAATGTAATAATCTACTGTCAAAGAATTCAAGATGAAAAATGCTACCTATCCCTGGACAAAAAGGTGATAGTATTAGACTACAGATTGAAACATATTTTTGAAACGAGGTCAATATAAGAATTTGTTTTGCTTGACCACACATGTACATTCGAAAGGATTTTTTTTCTTTTTTTGATCGGGGGTGGGGAGATGGAGAGGGGTAAGAGAGAGCAGGAAAGAAAGTAGGCCCTCTTTTTGGTTAACTGAAAAAATTGTTACTTTTATTAAAAAATAATAAATGTGGGACCTATTTTAAATATAAATTATTTCTGATTCTATAAACTCCACTATAGGTATTCCTAAAATAACACTTCCCAGAGAGCTTCTCTTTTTTCCCCAGATTTTCTGGACATATATTATTTTCCCTCTGCTACTTTTTTGAATTGTGAAAAAAAATAATTCTAATAACACGATACTATTTGTTTTTATTCTTCAATGACCACATATAACTCTCTAAGACTTAGCTACTGATTTATACAGATTGGTTGTAACTGTACTCACAGAGTTCCCTTACTGACAAAATCAAAGACCATGAAGGAATTCAAAATTATTTTGAGTCTTTACCCTCACAGAGAGTAGGTGGTCAATAAAAATTTGAGTAAAACATAATTGTATAAGAAATTAACTTTCACTAAGGTGCTTTCACTACAAATTTTTAAATACATATTTTAAGATTTGCATTTTTTACTCAAAAACTGGATCATAGGATCACAGATTAAAAAAGAACCTTAGAAGTTATCGAGTTCACCTTTTTTATTTTACAAGGTGGAAACTGGTACATAGAGATCAAAAATGACTTATTCAAGGTCACACAGATATAAATACTCTTGACCCCTAATCCAGAGCTTTTTCCAGTGAACCACATTGCCTCAAAGTAGGATAAAATTCATAACCTTTTATTACATTTATAATAAAAATATTTTACATTATTATCAATATGATGATATATCCTTAATCTCACACTATGAGAACCAATAAAATGCTACTGCTTTCTCACCACCCAGTGCAGTTTTTCCTTAGACACAGACCTTCCTTCTTCACCCTAAAATAGTAATAGTAATGACAGCTTGCATTTATATGCTGGTAAAATTTTACAAAGTACATGATGTCTACATTATCACATTTGATCTCCATAATAACCTTGTAATACAGATCAAATAACTATTTTTTCCTTTTTACAGATCAGCAAAGTAAGACTGGAAAAGGTTAAGTCATTTGCCCAAGAACAGAGAGCTGGTGGGTATGAGATATAGAACCTGAATCTAGGTCTTCTGACTCCAAATCCACTTCTCTCTGTTACACACACACACACACACACACACACACACACAGGGCTAGATCCATAATTTTTCCCACCATCAGTTCACAAGATACCTTCACACTCTAAGAGTCTTACCAACCTATAAGTAATGCACTGCTATGAAGTGATGGTATGGCATTCTGTATCTAGATGTACTTTGGTGGCTTCACCTCCTTCCAGCATCAGTGGGCCTTAAACTTGTGGCCTCAAGAATTTATCAGTTCAATTAAAAGTGAACAGGTTGTTGAAACTAACTGATTAACACTAATATAACTCTTAAGAGACTAATTCATAAATCAGAGTGCCAATTTACTAATGTGAAATGAAAATACATCTGACTTAAGAATTGAGATCAATCATCTCTATAAGTCACTAAAAATACATCCTTACAGATAGGTAGATTCACATTTAAGAAACCAAATTCCAGAAGAGATAATTGGAAAGTAACCAGATAATTTAATCAACTGGAATTAGAAAATTTCTGTCAAGCTATTGTACTAAATGGTCCCTTGTCCCTCTACAACAGAGGTTTTTAACTGGAGTCTGGGACCTTGGGTTTTTAAAAAATACACATTTTGATAACTAATTGTATTTCAATATAATTGGTTTCTATTTTATTCCTATGTATTTCATTTAAAATATTATTCTAAGAAAGGGTCCATAACCTTCACCAGACTGCAAAAGGGCTACACAAAACAACAAAGAACCTTTGCTCTAGAGATATTTTTGTCTAAAGAATAGATCTAGATCTTCTCCATCATAGCATATCTTGCAGAATCAATAGTTCAAAACCTTTCAAACAATCAATAAAAATCTTTTAACATGACAAGCTCTGAACAGTGCTAAACAAATACTGACAAATTCCTCTCTTTGCCTCTCTCTTTTTTTTTTTGGTACTGCAAGGTGAAACAACACCTTTCAATTTTCAACTTCATTCCATAGTTTTTAGGATGTTTTACAATATCCAATTCATAGTTCATTATAAGGGACAAGAGAGGTATCATTTCTAATTTTTTGATATTTAAGAAGGTATCTTTATATATGTTATGTTTAATTAGTTTCAAAGATGCTCTTCCTTAACTTTAAAAGTTTGTTGTTTTTTCTTCTCTGTCCATAGATTTAGGGGTCCACCTTGCTTTGTGACCTACAGTCCTCTGCCTCTGTCTGTGTGTATTCTGTAAGGGCTTTGCTCATTCTGAGCTATACCTTTTCATCAGGCTTGCCCATAACCCATTCTAATGCAATGAACATAAGCTACTTTCTCCAACAACTCAATCTCATCCCCACCAATTACTTCCCTCATCCCCTCCCCCCCCAAAATTCCTAAGACCTGCCTCCCACTACCATTTTAAATATATGTCTTTGTATATCTGTGATTATATCAGACTGAATGGGCTGCTATATAGAAGTGGATGTATATCTTCAAAACCTCTTCTGAGGTAAGCAGCATGTAAGGTCTGCTTTCGGGATGCAAAGGTGTACATAAGGTATAAAAGGACACTATGAGGATATTTCAAACTATAGTATTAAAGAAGGGGGAAGTTCTCTTCCTACAAAAAATGGCTTAAAAATTCTTTGACACATTTCCAGGGTGAGGTGGAATTCAGTCTTATTTCCTCCTCTTCCAAGAGGAGTGACCACCTGATATACAGCTCTTCACTCTCTTTAGAGTGAAGTTTGTTCTCACTAAAAGGAGAGGGGGCAGTAGTCAAGACTTCCAAAACAATGAATAACACAAGTATCAAATAAAAATTATCTTCAGAAAAAAATACTGGTATTCTATATGGTAAACCAATGGACAAATTATCAGGTGGGGACAACTATAAAAAAATACTGGTATTCTATATGGTAAA